GTATCAACGAATTTACTCTTGTAACTTTATTCCCACGTAAAGGTCATTAATATACACAAACAAAAAGAGACCCAAATCTGATCCTTGTGGAACGCTACATGCAACTCATATTCTGATTTCATCCCATTTATGCAAACGCTACTTAAGATTAGTCGCCGATGCTTCGATCCATGAGAGAGAACTTTTTCTCCAGTACCATGTGTTGCCATTCGTCTTCTGTGGAACTATCAAAAACCTTACTGAAATCCAGGTAAAAATTATCGTGATCCTCAAATGCTTTACTGAAGGTGGTTCACCAGATTTGTTGGGCAAGAATGGTCCTTCCTGGAGTCTACCTCTAAAGGTAGACTCCAGGTAGGGCATTCCGGGGACCCTTTGTGAATTCGTATTGAGATTCACAAATCAGACTACTGTATGCTCACTAATTTGGCTTATAAGATCGGATATTATTGAATCAAATAATTTTCATACAATTGAGATCTAGTGGTAATGTGATGGTATTAACTTGTTTGAAGATAGGAACTATACATAAATCTTCCGCATCTCTAGTACGACACCTGTTTGCGGTGACAGAATTAAAAAAAAGGCACAATACCGTGACTGGAGCAGTACCCAACCTTCATATAGGAGGCTTATGACGCTTCTGCTGTATAGCCCTTGTGGCTTAGGGCTTCTTTTTGATTATAATAATAATAATATGACGCTTCTGTCGGACTTGGATAAGTTAATGGTCTAAATTGAACTGAAACATCGTCATAAGTGATACTGTAATATGGAGAAATGGATATATGCAACGTCTGGGTATCTTTATTTTGTAGACTTGCCATTCCAGTGGCTTTATAACAATACAGGGACATAACGGAAGACTGTACAAAAAGAGGTAATCAGTTCCTCAGCCTAGGAGTAGATGTTGAGCACTGTAGTACCCACATGTTGCACATGTATCAAATTTATCGTCATATATTATATATTATATATATATATATATATATATATATATATATATATATATATATATATATATATATATATATAGTGAAATAGCAGGCAAGTTAGCGGCTCACTAAGTTCCATCATGCACTTTAAGTACCTTTGAAAAAAGTTAGTCGGGGCTTGGGGAATTATTTTGCTTTAATCAGTCAACATGTTTGGTAACCATGCCCCTAGTGACTGATATTTCTAAATTTGTTTTTTCAAGACCTCTTTAATATTTAATTGCTTAGATATTTTTGTGTCATTAACAAGAGGACGGCACATTTCCAGATCATTATCAGTAAGCTGTCCAGATCTAGTTTTCTTTGTCGTGTATACCTAAAAGAATCTTTTCCTATTTGACCCGAATTACCTTGCAACTTTTAAGTCTCGTCTAGCTTTTTTATCATAATTTTTATTTTTTAATATGAAATTATTGCTCCGTAAGGCGATTTGTGATGCGCCTTTAAATTCCTCTCATCTCTGGCCCAGAGGTTTTAGTCTATCATTTATCCTGACCCTTTGAGTTTAGCGCTTGTTTTTTTATTATACCATTTATACATTTGGTAGATTAGAAAGTCGTATTAGCAGTTGTCTTCTTTACTGTTTGTAGGATCTTCGTTAGTCAGTAGCCGGGTTACCCCAGACACTGCATGGCAGATTCTCCTCCCTCGGTACATTTATAGTCTGAACATTAAAATGGTATAAAATACCGACAGATTGTTAGGTAAGACACATATGCAACAGTTAGGTATCTTTATTTCGAAACGTTTCGCCTACACAGTAGGCTTCTATCAACTTTTCTGTACTCGACTGAAGAAGCCTACTGTGTAGGCGAAACGTTTCGAAATAAAGATACCTAACTGTTGCATATGTGTCTTACCTAACATTTATAGTCTGCACAGCCACAGTCTGGAAACTTTATTGTAGATCCTCCAGTTTACTTCCAGGTAATGTTTAGGGTAATAAGCTTTGTGATCACTTGCGCCCAGTTCTTCAGTAATCTGTTAGTCTGCCCGAAATGCCCCGGCATGATAGTGGCTTTGTTTGTACTTAAATCAATATTGTAATTACACATTGTAACCTTTCCAAAGAAATAAAATCTATATCTTTAGGGTCTGCAAAAAAAAAAAAAAGGGTAAAGCAGTTTATTCGTTCTGGTTCAGATAAGTTATGGAATACTAAGAAGTCATTAGGACTCAAACTTCCTAATAAAAAATAAGCAGTCCAGTCATTGTGGGTAAAATAAAAATGCTCTGCAATTACATTATCGTAGCGCGAAGCTGTAAGATTTCCGTCTCCAGAAAATTGTCTTAATCCGCCGTCCAGGCGCAGTCACCATTGAATACTTAACATCCTTTTTTTTTTTTCTTTAGAAAACTATCGTGATTGTGTCTGTTCCTAGTTACTCTCACTTGTTTAATCCAAGTCCAGTTCGCACCTAGCTCTGATACTGTTTTCATAATAAATATGCTGAGAATTTTTGTTTTCCTCCTCCCCCCTCCCGTATCCCGTTCATGTTTAACTTTCCTCTGTTTTTGATGATTGTATTATTGCCCGGTGTGTGTGTGTGTGTGTGTGTGTGTGTGTGTGTGGTGTGTGTGTGTGTGTTACACCGCCTGGCCTAGACACACATGGCATTGCTGGCCCTCTATTACCAGCGCCGGGATCCTTCACATGACCACCGACGGCCCCCCCCTCGCATGACCACCGACGGGCCCCCCTGACATGACCACCGACGGGCCCCCCTGACATGACCACCGACGGGCCCCCCTGACATGACCACCGACGGGCCCCCCTTACATGACCACCGACG